CCTACAAGTGGTCCCTGCAGACCCCAGCGCCCACCCTCTCCCTCACCTGGAGGGGCCAGTTGGAGAGGGGTTGGGCGTGGGGAGGGTAGGAGATAAGGGAGGGTCACCTGCCCTGACTGAGGATTGGGGTCAGCACCTGGGCCTGCACCATATGAGCCGTGTGACCCTAGAGAGCTACTTCCTCACAGGTGGGCAGGGGTCACCCTCAGGCAGGGGGCCTCAGTCCTGGCCGAACGCAGGGCCTAGCTGTACTCTGACGTGGTTTTACAGCGCCCCGTGTAGAGCTCGGCCTTAGAAAGCAGCCTCTCCTGCAGCAAGATGGCTGAGTAAATCCCACCGGGCCACTGCAGGGAAGGCCCGGAAGAGGTCCAGGGAAGCAGGGACAAGCACGCCCAGACCCTCTACGGGAGGCGCTGAGACAGACACTGCTGTTTCCAGCTTCTGAGGAGAGAGCCATGAAGCTGCCCTTGGCCAGGGCGCCAGGAGGGATGGAAAGGAAGGGAAACCTGAGGTGCCCGAGAGAGCGTAGGTCAGGGGACTAGTGCCCTACAGCTGTCGTGACTGACCACCGCGAGACTGGCGGTTAGAACAACAGAAGCGGATTCTCTCCCAGTTCTGGGGCCGTGAGTTCAAGACAGTGTGACTGGGCCAAACTCCCTCTGGAGGCTCTCGGGAAAATCCTCCTCGCCTCTTCCAGCTTCTGGTGGCCCCAGGTGTCCTTGGCTTGTGGCTGCATCATGCTGTCTCTGCCGCCTCCTCCTCCTCTGTGTGTGTGTGAAGTCTCCGTCGGCCTCCCTCTGATGGGAATGCACGTGGTGGCATTTAGGGCCCACTCTAGGGTCACTGTGAGCTGGAATCAACTCCATGGCAGTGGGTTTGGGGATAATCCAGGCTGATCTCCCCATCTCAAGACCGTTCATTTAATTCCATCGGCAAAGACCCTTTCCCCTGGGACCAGGACACGGGCATGTCATGGGGACCGTCATCAGCCAGCCACAGGAGCATTGCAAAGGGTGAGACTGAGGACAAAGGGCAGGTCCGGAAGCGCCAGGGGAAGCGGGGGAGGCTGCAGTGAGCGCAGGGGCCTGAGTGGAGAGTTTGGGTGAAAGTGAGAGAAGGGGTGTTTGATGGGGAGACGGGAACTTTCTCCAGGATGCTAGCAGTGAGGCTGCGGTGAGGACCACGAGCTAGCTTTTATTCCTTGTGGTCGTCCGACTCTATCCACATCCCTGTTTCTCCTACACACAGCGCAGGCTCAAGGGCGTCTGGAGGGTGCATTTAGGAAATGCCCATCTGGAGAGTCAGAAAACAAGAGGACGTGGGAACGAGGGCTGGTGCCAGTCTGCAGGGGTGCAAGGTTCAGGGGCCACACCAGCAGGACCCTCTGGGGCCAGGGGCCAAAGCCCCCACCCCACCACCACCAGCAGCTTGGGCTAAGAAGGGAGGCGCTTGTTGGTTCTGGAGGCCATAGCCCGGAAGGCAGGGACAGCAGGGCCTCCTGGCTCTGGGGTGCTGGGCCAGTGAGATTTCACAGCCCTCCTCTGGCACTGGAGGGGGGCACAGGGGTGAGGTCGGGACCCAAGCAGGGCCCGTGGCTGAGAGGCAGACGGGAGAGCCCCTACCTCACGCTGGGGCAGCTAATCTGGGGATCAAAGGCCCTGATGCCTGAGCCCCAGCCCAGGCCTGTGGGGGCTCCCAGCTCACCCTCCCTGTTGTCCTGGGGCCCTCCTCTCTCAGCCACCTCTCCTCCTTCCCTCTTCTAGTTTTCCTGGAGCTGGGAACCAGTAGCAGGCAGCTCTGGGCTTTCTGTCCAGAAAATCCTCCCCACCAGACACCCTAGAAGGAGGTGAGATTGGAGGCTAGGAGTTGGCCCGGGGCTGGCCCAGCTGGGACGGCAGGAGGCCCAGGGGCCGAGGATCGCCAGGTCTCCTCACCAGTCAGCACGCCCACACAATGCCAGCCTTCCCCCAGGGCCCGTCCCTTGTCTGTGGTGACATCCCCCTGCCCCCGGCCACCTTCTTGCAGAGTTGGTCAGCTGCCTGCTGCATCCTAGCCTGAGTCCATGCCCGGGGACTCCCCTAGGGGCACAGGGACCCTCCCTTAGATTCTGTCACCACTTCTGGTACGCTAGCAGGGACCAGCGACGCCTCCATAAGCACATCCACGGAGCCCCCGCGGTGATGACCACCACTCCACACAGCCTGGCCTCACGAGGGTCACGCCAGAGACCAAGGGTGGGAGCTGGGTGGTGGGCAGTTCTTTAGCTAACACATGTCCTAACAGGTCTCTCTCCTAATTTCAAAGCCAGAGATGGAGGGTTTCTGAAGCCGTGGCTCCCCCATCACAGGGCTCGTCAAGGGGAAGCAGCCAGCATTTCTGACCTGGCAGAGCCCAAGCCTCACAGGGCAGAGGGACAGCTGTTGCCCCTCATGTGGTTCCTGCCCCAGAGCGGGGGAGTGGGAGGTGCTGCCACGGGAACAGGCCATGTCGGCACGGTGCAGGCATTGGCCCAGAGGGGCTCTGCACCTCCAGGAGGTTTGGGGGCGCCAGTGACACGGCCTCACCGTAACCCCCCCAGCCCGGGCCCCGCAGGGCCTCCTGGACACAGAGGTCAGCCCGGAGCTGCTGCTCCTCACAGAGCCAGCAGAGGGCAGCAGCGCCCCAGGAAAGAGACGATGCCTCACAGGCCTGTTGGGGGCAGTGAAGTCCATTCTGACTCATATCGGCCCCATACGATAGGGTACAGCTGCCCCGGAGGGTTTCCTGGGCCTGAGGGTTATCAATAGCACCTGGGACGCAGCTGATAGGGGCGTCTGCACCAATGCTTTTACCGGTATTTTTACTTTGACAGTGATGGCTGAGGCCCACCTCTCCAAGCACAATAACAAGATAGCTCACACTTGGGCAGCATCTAACATTTTTCAGAGAACTTTAATGTTTATTTTTCCTTTTGATCTTTTAAACTTTTATCTTTTAAGCTCTTATGGTGGACAGAGCTAGGATAAAAACCAGTTGCCATTAAGTCAGTTCCGACTCCTGGCGACCCCATGTGTGTCAGAGTAGAACTGTGCTCCAAAGGGTTTCCAATAGCTGATTTTTCAGAAGCAGATCACCAGGCCTTTCTTCCGAAACACCTCTGGATGGATTTGAACCTCCAACCTTTCCGTTAGCAGCCAAGTGTGTTAACCATTTGTACCACCCAGGGACTCCAGAACTGGGATAGTTATTCTTATTTATCAAGGATGAAGAAACAAACTCCGAGAGCAGAGAGGTTGACTGGGGATCCTCCGACCTGGAGAAGCCAGGATTTGAATTGTGTCTGAGGCTCTGCCCTGCCACGCTATCCCTGGGGAAGATGTGTTTCCGCAGCTCCACTTGGTGACCCAGCTCTCTGTTTCTCAAGCTCATGAAACGTGAATCCACTAGGGCACAGACTGACCACTAGCTGCACATTCAGACTGCTGTTTGGAGTTTAAGAGGACCAGAAACACGCCCTGGAACCATCACTATCTCCCCTCTGCTCAAGTCGCAAGGAGCACATTCTCACGTTTTGTTTGCTGCCTATTTTGTTACACCCTTTGTTTGAGCTGATTAAGCTCAGATACAGCAGATGTTCTTGGGAATCCATCACTCCACGTTCATGGGTGTTTTGAGTTGGTTAACCTGAGATGCAGTGGGTGTTCCTGGGAATCCATCACTCCGCGTTCATGGGTGTTTTAGTTGGTTAACCTGAGATACAATGGGTGTTCCTGGGAATCCATCACTCCGCGTTCATGGGTGTTTGAGTTGGTTAACCTGAGATACAGTGGGTGTTCCTGGGAATCCATCACTCTGCATTCATGGGTGTTTTGAGCCTTAAAATGATGCCGTGTCTCTGAGGGGGATCCTCTCTCTAGGATAGAAAGCAAAGTGCTAACTATAACCAAGGGGCTGCCTCTCAGCAGTTCCTGGAGTAGGAAAAGACAAAGGTGGGCATTACAGGTGCCTCACTGGGGGCCAGTGGAGCCTCTTTTTCCTGGAGCTGGCAGCTGCTGCAGTATCTAGAAATCATCTTATCAATCAAACTGACACTTTCTCTCAGGAGAAAATAAGTGGTTCATATTGTCAAGGAGGCTTTGATGCATGGAAACCTTTCCTCAATGTACAAAATTCCTAAGTTACTAAGATAAATGGGGGAGATTTGACACTTCTTGTGCATAATTTAAATTCAGATAGGCTCCCACTGTAGGAACATTACAAGGTGTTCTGAACTTTGTACCTCTAATTCTGTTCCATTGCTGACACAGGGTTCTGAGCAGCTTTCAATCTGCCTTCATTTTTATAATTTAGAGGGGAAAAAATACATTGTGGAATATCACGAATCTAGTATTTATTTTGAAATGAAATAAAATTGTCCCTATCTGTGAATTATTCTTTAAAAGCCACTTAAAATAAGCAAGTGTTTTCCGCACTTTTAGATATTGACTTAGAGTAAGAAACATCCAATGGCTGATGATGTTCAGAAGCACAGAGAAAGCCCAGGTTCAGGGGACATCAAACTCCGAGAGGAAAGGTTGTCCCTGCGGGTGTTTACAGATTCCTTACAGACCCCACTCTTCATGACATATGTGGGCTTGGGCATCCGGAGTCCTGCGATCTCACTCCACCCCTAGTTGCTCCAAAGGGGAGAGAGACGCGCCTAGTCGTGTCTGTGCACTGTTGTGGGGGACGCTGGGAAATCCGCTGCTGCCCTGTAAGTCTGTGGTACTGTCTTAGTCATCTAGTGCTGCTCTAACAGAAATACCACAAGTGGATGGCTTTTAACAAGAGAAATTTATTCTCTCTCAGTCCAGTAGGCTACAAGTCCAAAGTCAGGGCATCAGCTCCAGGAGAAGGCTTTCTCTCTCTGTTGGCTCTGGAGAAAGGTCCTTATGATGCATCAGTCTTCCCTTGGTCTGGGAGCATCTCAGCGAAGGAACCTCAGGTCCAAAGGACACGCTCTGCTCCCAGCACTGCTTTCTTGGTGGTATGAGGTTCCCGTGTGTCCTGCTTGCTTCCCTTATATCTCAAAAGGGATTGGATTAAGACACTATCTAATCTTGTAAACCTCATCAGTACAACCTCATCATAGTGACAGAGTTTACAACACACAAGGAAATCACAATCATACAATACTGGGAATCATCACCCAGCCAAGTTGACAGATATTTTTGGGGGACACAATTCAATCCATGACAGGTACCTCCACGCTTAGCCCTGCCCTGCTGGTGGGGCGGGCCTCTCAGCCTTCTCTGTTGTCTGCAGTGCCGCGCCATCCCTGGTCCGGGAGAACAGTCTGGAATTTGTCTCCATCCTCAGCACTGCCTATCGTGAGGTGAGTGATGGCCCCCTAAAGGATATGTTCACAACCTAACCTCCTAGTCCCCAGAACCTGTGAGTGTTGCCTTATTTGGAAAAAGAATCTTTGCAGATGTGATTAAGTTAAGGATCTCAAGATCATTCCATTCTGGATTATCCAAAACCAAAAAAAAAAAAAAAAAAAACTGTTGCTGTAGAGTTGATTCCGTATCCACCCTACAGGACAGAGTAGACCTGCCCCATAGGGTTTTGAAGGAGTGGCTGGTGGGTTTGAACTGCCGACCTTTTGGTTAGCGGCCAAGCTCTTAACCACTGTGCCACCAGGGCTCCTGGGTTATCCAGGTGGGCCCTAAATCCAGTGACAAGTATCCTGATAAGAGGTGAGGAGAAGAGACAGAAGCAGAGGTAAGATGGCCATGTGACGGAAGCATAGAGATTGGAGTGATAGCACCACAAGCCAGGGAATGCCTGCCGCCGCCAGAAGCTGGAAGAGACCAGGAGGGACCTTCCCCTACGGCCTTCAGAGGGAAGTGGCCCTGCCGACACTGGGGTTTGGACTTGTGGTCTCCAGAACCATGAGGGACCACATTTCCATTGTTCTAAGCCCCTTGCCCGTGTGCTTACTTTAGCCGCCGCAGAAGATGAGCACAGGGCCTTCTCTTGGTGCCAGGTCACAGAACCTTTGTCTTCCTCGCAGACCTGCTGCTTGAACTGCAACCGCTTTTCTTGCCTTCCTCTTGGTTGTCTCTGCTGCTTCTCAACGAGGACGACCAGTCGTCAGGTTTGCCTGGGCCTGCTCAAAGTCCTGCATCCTGTGAAGCCCCTCACTCCCAGGCAAACTGGGACTGTGGGTCCCCACAACGTGCCCTCACTGCCTGCTCCCCCGTCCTCAGGCTGGCAGACCCAGCTGGGTTCCCTGCTGCCCACAGGACCGGCGAGCACTGTGCAGCTGCTGGCTCTGCCTGGGTGGGCGCTACCTGCCTCGTGGCCTCTTGGACGGGCAGCCGGGCCCCCTTGGCCTCCCCGGGCCTTGGGTGTGTCGACCCACAGCATGGCCCACCTTCAGGGCCCACAGCAGAGCCTTCCCACGGGGACCACATGATGCAGAGGATCCAAATACAAAGCGTAGGGCTCGAGGGAGAAGCTGTCCCTGACACCACCGTGGGCGAAGCAAATCGGCCCTTGGACAGCTCCAGGGGTGACACCACCTCCTCCCATCCCTTTCAGGGTCATACTCCAGAGGAGCATCATTTGCTTAGAGGCACTCAGCTTCCCTGAAAAGGCATGAACGTTGCTGTGAAAATGATCCCATTTTTATTGCCCATCCCCCAAGTCCCAGCCTGTCTTCCCCAACCCTGTGAGCATTCCTCGCCTGGGGGTGCTGAGCAAACGGCACAGACCAGGAGGGGAGCAGCCAGGACAGCACCCAGCTGGGGGTGCTGCCACCAAGGCTGCCCTGCAGCCCCAGGCCACTCCCTGCAGAGACCCTGACTCATCCCTAAATCCAGGTCTCCTGCCTGCTCCTCTGTGGGCAGGATCTGCACCACCACCCCCGTCTTTCACCAGGCACCGACCCCTCCCTGGAGCCCACCCACCTGCCACACCTGGGGCCAGGGTGGGGAGGTGGTAGTTCCCAGGAAGGGGGCCTTCTGCCCCAGGTTTCAGGAGACGCGTGGGCAGTTTGCGTCAGGAAATGGCAGTGACTAGAAGTCAATTGTCTTACAAGCTGGACAGCGCTGGGAGCCCGGAGTTTACTGAGCATCCACTCTGCTCCTCTTCAAGGGCCAACCCTGTCACCAGGAAGACAAGGCATGAGTCAAGTGAAGGGCCACACCTCCCCGTGATGGGGCCACCGAGCCATCCTGGGAAGCCCCTCTGTGCTCAGTTTTATCTTAAGGACTGAGGCCCTCTGCCCCGTCTCTGCCCTGGTGGACATCCAGGGGGACGGCCCTCTGCCCCATCTCTGCCTGCTGGAGACTGTCTTAGCCAGAGAGAATTAGGTTCTATCCCTGACGTTCAGCGGTCACCCACACCACCAGTGATGACAGCAGGTGATTAGTGAGAGCTCTCCACAACCCCCCGAGCTGTACCAGGTGGCCCATTTTACAGATGAGAAAAGTGAGACCCCAAGAGGTGAAGCTCACAGAGGTGGTGAGGACTGGAGCCAGGGTCGCCGTCTGCGCTCACAATCCAGGCGCTATGTCTCAGACGTGTCTCGGCGCAGTAATGAGACCAACAAGGCCCTGCGCTCAGGACCCTACATTCAGGGACCTGTGTTTGGGGTGCTTGGACTCTGGTGCACGGGGGCCAGCAGGGACCAGCTTGTGAGAGTCGAATGTGGCTTGCACCCACCTCTTCCCAACTCTGCACACAGTGACATCACCCTGGAGGCTTGGAATTGGCCGTGTTGAGTATTCACACCACAGGAACCCGCAGACACAGCACATCAGGGCTCTGTCCTTCTCGAGAGTTAGTTTCCCAGCACACCGCTGCTATTTACAAAAACCACATCAATTTGTGTTGTCTGCATGTAAAAATATAGTTATCCACACACACCACACGTATGCACACACACACACACACACACAGGATACACAAGCACACATACACACTCAGACATACCTGTGCACTCAGACACATACACATAGGACACACCTACCACACACGTATACACACACACGCACACCACCCACACACACGGGACACACACGCGCACACGCACAAACATGCATATGCACACACCACATAGCAAAAGGAAGTATTTTAATTTAGCTATCTACCTAAATGTTCGAACTGGGCAGCTACCGTTGGAGAAGGGAATGCTGAGCGTCCCTGATGCCGGCTGGGCTCCCCGGGCCCCTCGGAGCTCCGTTACACTGGTCTCGACCTCAGTTCCACAGACCAAACACCAGCGCGGCTGCACGCCTCATTCCAAGTCTCAGAGCTGCCTCCATCAGTTCTCCGCGCCACTGAGACCCTGCTCCACCCCTGGGCTCGTTTCCCCCACATCCTCACCCAGTCTGGGCCCTCCACAGGTTTGTACAGAAATTCATTTCCTGCATCTGGGAGGGGTCCTGAGTGGGGGCCCCACCGTCTCACTGCCACGTGTCCTCCCCCTTGCTCCAGACGCTCTCGAGTCCCTCCCTCGAGGGTGCTGGATAGCTCTACCCACACCCAGCCCCTGGGATTTTCCCAAGAAGCACAATTACCTCCTCAGAGCCCCCTGGGGCGGCTGTGAACAGAAGGCATCGTCCACCTCCTGGCGGCTGAGCTGGCCACCTTTATTTTCTCGATTATAGCTCATCAAATGAGAATCCACAGCGGGGTGAGGACGTCTCCAACGGATGTAACTGAAGCTTCATTCAGACAGGACGACATCTGATGTGCTCCAAAGACTCTCTGAATCTCGTTGGGGAGACCCGTGAGCCCCCCACGACAGGTCTGGAGGGACCGTGGCCACCACCCAGGCCCCCGGGCTGCCCCGTGCCCTGCAGGCCCCTGGGCACTCGCTGCCGTGCTGGGCTCCCTGGGCAGCTCCTGGCCCCTGCTCCACAACGGAGACCTGCGAGGAGCTGAACTGCAGGCCCGAGGCCCAGGCACACTGCAGCAGGACACTCAGCCCACGCTCCTCTCGGCTGGAGGAGGGAGGAGGGTACCCGTAGGACTCAGGAAGGGCGGGAAGGATACAAGGAAGGAGAAAGGGGACAAGGGGACAGGGAAGAAAAGAGGCAACAGGCAACTGTGAAGCTGGTGCTATAGACGGCTGCAACAGACACTGTGAGCAGGAGGGAGCACCCAGCAACACGGCTGACAGCCACCAGCAGCTTCTGTGGCGTGGTCTCTCAGGAAGTGTCCCACTGGGGAAAGGGACGGCCACAGAGCGCTGCATCACAGACGCGCCTGCAGTCCAGCACTGAGGTGTACCCACCTTTTTATTTTATTGTGGTAGACTGCATGTAACAAGAAATGTGCCTTTCAGCCATTTTCGAGTGTACAATTCCGTGACGTTAGTTACATCTGCCATGTGTGCAACCATAGCCATTATCATTTTTCTTTTAAAATGTTATAAAAATAAAAATGATACTACGTCTTTAAAATCTGTGAGAATCACCAGGGCCGCACGATGTGTAAGAATGTTGGGTTTCCAAGGGGACATAGACAGGTTCTCACTAGCTTTCAGATACACAGGTCGTCACGAGCACCAGCCACCGCCCGCCACACAGGCCAGGCCCAGGGCCGTCAGGGGTCTGTCCTGACAATGCTGACAAGCGCCGGGGCTCCCTCCTGCTCTGCGTGCACCTGCACTCAGCCGGGTTTGTACAGCAACATGGAAAGAAGGCTCGTGGCTTATTGAGTACGTGACGTTAGCCAAACATCGTCTGCAGGCCGGGGAGCTATGATGAACCCGAAGTTCCTGTTTTTCTGGAGCAGTGTTCTGGGCCCTCAATCTATGTTCTGGCACTTCTTGTTGGATAGAGAGTGTGACATGGTCGAGGACGGATTGCCAGTAAGCACGTATGCACCCAGCTTGCACTGAGCAAGGTACGCCCGGGCTTAATTGCATTTGCCTGCTAATCTGTGGTGAGTAATGCCACCTGGGTTTCACCACGTCTCTGATGTGGTGGGGCGGGTGAAATTCTGCACTGCAGGTTGGCAGAAAGGCACAATGGGCCCTGCAGACCTTCCTTGCTTATTGGGTGATTCCGCCCTGGATGGGATTCTAACATCCAGTCTACCCTGCAGGCTGGGTAGGACACCCAGGCAGGGGCCTCTCCCTGAAGGAGCTTGTTGAGTCCATGGCGTTCAGGGAAGACAAGGGTGGCCACTGACAGGCTGTGCGGTGAGGGGACAGCCCCACTGTGGGCAGGGCTATCTCAGGCCAAGCAGCCACCTGGGTTGGGTCAGAGCTGGGCTGCGGTGACGAAGGCAGACGAGTTCCCTGCCCTGCTCAGAACTCATTTTCCAGGGAAATAAGTTCCGCAATGGTGGAATAATTACTAAAAACAGCCAGGGCAGGAGGAGGGGTACACTCCAGGTGAGCACTGTGGACAAGTGAGAGCCGGGGACATGGTAAAAACAGTGTTGTGTTATGGAAAAGACCAGCTGCCATTAGTCGACCACTCCCGACTCCTGGCCACCCTGTGTGCGTCAGAGTAGAGCTCTGCTCCATAGGGTTTTCAATGGCTGATTTTTCGAAAGTAGGTGGTCAGGGCTTTCTTCCAAGGTGACTCTGGGTGGACTCCAGCCTTTTGGTTAGCAGCTGAGCATGTTACTGTTCACACCACCCAGGGACTCCATCCAGGGAAAAGGTGTAAGTTTTGCAATCTGGCTCCAGACTCAGACAACACTTGACTTCCCTCCTCATCTGTAAAATGGGGACAAAGTGAGGACATTAAACCCTTACTGCTCCGATGGCCACGCATTACATGGGGCACTTACGTGGGCTGAGCCACTACCTCCCTAGTCTTGTTTCCCACAGCTCCTCCCCTTATCTGCCAGGTGATGCTCTTGAGAGGGCTATCAGGACGGTGGGAATGGCAACACCTATCGTTTCAATGATGCAAACTACGGACAGTGAAGCTCAACGGAAACATGGCAGTTGAAAAAGCAATTAGGACAAGGATAAGAATTACTTCGGACTTCTCTTCGGAAATCATGCAAGCAAAAGAGAGTGGAATAAAATATTTAAAGTGTTGAAAGAAACAAACCTCCAACCTAGAATTTTGTATCCAGTGAAATTATTCTTGCAAAGTGAAGGACATACATAGACCAATGGAACAGAATTGAGAACCCAGCTGTAAATCCATCCACCCATGGTCAGCTGATCTTTAACAGAGGACCAAAGTCCATTAAATGGGGAACAGATAGTCTTTTTAACAAACGATGCTGGCAAAACTGCATGTCCATCTGTAAAAAAAAAAAAAGAGGACCCATACCTCACACTATACACAAAAATTAATTCAAATGGATCGAAGACCTAAACATAAAGCCTAAAATGATAAAGATCATGGAAGAAAAAATAGGGACAATGCTAGGGGCCCTAATACATGGCATAAATACAATACAAACCATAACTAACAATGCACAAACACCAGAAGGGAAACTAGATACCTGGTGGTTAGGTGCCTTTGAGTTGGTTCTGACTTATAACAGTCCCTTGTACAACAGAGTGAAACACCGCCTGGTCCTGCTCCATCCTCACAATCCTTGTTATGCTTGAGCTTATTGTTGCAGCCACTGTGTCCATTCATCTCATTGAGGGTCTTCCTCTTTTTTGATGACCCTCTACTTTATCAAGCATGATGTCCTTCTCCAGGTCCCACCTGATAATACATCCAAAGTATATGAGAGGAAGTCTCACCATCTTTGCTTCTAATGAGCATTCTGGCTGTACTTCTTCCAAGACACATCTGTTTGTTCTTCAGGCAGTCCATGATATATTCAATATTCTTTGCCAACACCATAATTCAAAGGCATCAACTCTTCTTTGGTCTTCGTTACTCATTGTCCAGCTTTCACATGCATATGAGGCAATTGAAAATACCATAGCTTGGTGTTCACAATAGCAAAAAGATGAAACAACCTAGATGTCCATCAACAGATGAATGCATAAACAAACTATGGCACATGCACCCAATGGAGTATTACATAATGATAAAGAACAATGATGAATCTGTGAAGCATCTCACAACATGGATGAAACTGGAGGACATTATGCTGAGTGAAATAAGTCAATCACAAAAACACAAATATTGTATGAGACCTGTACTGCAAAAACTCATGAAAAAGTTTACACACAAAAAAAAAAAAAACAATCTTTGTTGGTTAGGAAGGATGGAAGGGGTTGGGGGCATACTGACAATAGATAAGTGGTAACTTTGGCGAAGGGTAAGACAGTACACAATACTGGGGAAGCCAGCACAACTTGTACAAGGCAAGATCATGGAAGCTCCACAGACACATCCAAACTCCCTGAGAGACTGAATTGCTGGGCAGAGGGCTGTGGTCTTGGGGAACATCTAGCTCAATTCGCATAACAGTATGTAAAGAAAATATTCTATGTTCTACCTTGGTGAGTAGCGTCTGGGGTCTTAAAAGCCTGTGAGCAGCCATCTAAGGTACTCCACTCGTCTCACCCCTTCGGGAGCAAGGGAGAATGAAGAAAACAAGATGCAAGGGAAAGATTAGTCCAAAGGACTAATGGACCACAACTACCACAGCCTCCACCAGACTGAGTCCAGTACAACTAGATGGTGTCCAGCTATCATCACTGACTGCTCTGACCAGGATAACAACAGAGGGTCTCAGACAGAGCTGGAGAAAAATGTAAAACAAAATTCTAACTCACAAAAAAAGACCAGACTTACTGGCCTGATAGAGACTGGAGAAACCCCAAGAGTATGGCCCCCAGACACCCTTTTAGCTCAGTAATGAAGTCACTCCCGAGGTTCACCATTCAGCCAAAGATTAGACACCCCATAAAACAAAACGAGACTAATGGGGCACAACAGTTCAGGGACAAGGACTAGAAGGCAGGAGGGGACAGGAAAGCTGGTAATAGGGAACCCAAGGTTGAGAAGGGACAGTACTCGATGTGTCTTGGGGTTGTTAACCAGTCATAAAACAATATGTGCACTAAGTGTTTAAGGAGAAGCTATTTGTTCCGTAACCCTTCATCTAAAGTACAATAAAAAGAAAATACCATGGCTTGGGTCAGGTGCGCTTTAGTCTTCAAGGAGGTATCTTTACTTTTTGACACTTTTAAAGAGATTTTTTGCAGCAGATTTACCCAATGCAATGGGTTGTTTGATTTCTTGACTGCTGCTTCCGGGGGCATTGATTGTGGATCCAAGTAAAATGAAATCCTTGATGACTTCAATCCTTTCTCCGTTTATCATGATGTTGCTTATTGGTCCAGTTGTGAGGATTTTTCTTGTTTGACAGTGCCATTCAAAGGCAAAGAAACCAAACCTGTTGCTGTCACTTCCGACTCATGCCGGCCCCATGTGTGTCAAGGAGAACTGCTCCACAGGGTTTTCAAGACTGTGGTGCTCACTCACACAGTGAGGAAGCAGTGCGGATGCAGCTGGGTGTGCTCGGGGGATCACAGGCTGAGGGTGGATGGCTGGGGGACCGGGGCTCCCGCCTTCATGTTGCACGTCCCTCCGGCCTCGCCAGCCCACGGGACATTCAGTCCAGTACGCCCTTGCTGGAACAATTTCTCTATCTGGTTTATGTTAGATGGGATGATTGCACGCATTACTGATGGGACACATGTAAGACGACCCCAAGTTTGCTACTAAATCCGAACTTGAAAATGATCCACATTTGGCATTTTAAATGACATTTACTAACTGAAGTCTAAATAAATCAAAGAATTTTTTTTTATAGTTATGTAGGGAAGAGCAATTAATAGGATCTACCCCCTCTGTGATTTTTTTCAAACTTTTAAGATATAAAGTTTTTTTCTGGCTTGGTGAAAAATTAGATAAACAGTAAGCTAGGTTTTTTAAAAACCAGTTTTTATTGATGTATAATTCACATGCATACAATAAAATGGACCCACTTTAAGTGTGTGGTTTAATGATCTTGGAAAATGGTGTACACCTCTGTAACCACTGCTCCATTGAAGACACACAACATTTCCATTGCCCCAGAAAGCTCTCTCTTCCTCTTTCCCAATCAACCTCCTCCCCACAACCATGTTTTTTTTTTCTGTCTATATTATACATGAGCTAATCTGGGGCTCAGTGGTCAGATTCTTTAAAAAAAAGTTGCCATCGAGTCACTGCAGACTCCTGGTGACATCATGGTGATGAAGGGGCCCCTGGGCGGGTGACACAGACGAGGGAGCGCTCGACTGCTAGCCGAGAGACTGCTGGTTTGAACTCACCCAGAGGCACCTCAGAACAGGCCTGGTGATGTTTCCAAAAGGTCACATCCTAGAAAACCCTATGGAGCGGTTCTACTCTGCCCACATGGGGTGGCCGTGAGTGAGAATCATCGTTCACCGCACTTACTCTCTCGTGTCTGGTTCCTTTCGTTTGGCGCTGTGTTTGAGGTGCACCCCCGTTGTTCTTGTGAGTAATTTGTTCCTTTTCATTTCTAAATAGTATTTCATTGTATGAGTATAGTACGCTAGACTCTAAGACCCACCAGGCACTTTACAATTTGGTGATAAGCTCTAAAAGAATAATAAAAGAAAATTGTCTTGCACTACCCAGGACTTGTGAACACTAATTAGAATCCAAAAAGGAAAACTCACAGAGATATTTAAAGCTCTTATCACAAAAAAGAGTTAAAAGCTCATGCTGGTCAGCGGATGCAGGGTGGGTCACGAGGAAGACTTGTCTTTTAAATGGAATTTAATGGTAGCCAATTAACAAAAGAACACATTCTGAACTAAAATTAATTACCTTGCCATCATTTCAAAAGCCTTATCTTTGCACACACAGAATAACAGTAAAACAAAGCAAAAGATAGCAAACCAACCGCTGTCAAGGCGCCTCCAACTCACGGTGATCCCACGTGTGCCAGGCTAGAACTGTGCTCAAAGGGTTTTCAATGGCGGATTTTTTGGCAAGTAGACGGCCTGGTCTTCCTTCCGAGGCACCTCTAGGTGGACTTGACCCTCCAACCTTTTGGTTACAAGTGAATGCATTAACCGTTTGCACCACCCAGGGACTCCGACCATACATAAAGCAACTACACAGAAGACAGTCTGAGAGTTGACGAAGGTTTCAATTGCGGTCACACTGGGCAAATCTACACATAAAAAGGGAGACTACAGCGCCATGTCTCTGCGTCTCCTCACAAGGTTCCTGAGGGCTGTGGGTGCTCACTGCCCCCTGACCACTCCACGGCAGCTGCTCTGGGCTCCCAGTGGGGAACCCAAGGTCCAGCCTCAGGCCTGTCTGAAGCCACCTGCCTGCAGCATTGGACAGCCACCGCTCCCGCCCTGTCCCTGGTTCCCCACCCAGCTCCTGGCAGGCCACTCCTCAGTCCTCCATTCGCTGTTCCCACACCCTTCAGGACTCTGACCTTGGTCCTCTTGCCCATCCGCCCCTTCACTGGTGATCTTACCAGTCCAGCATCAAGATGCTGCTGACCCCGAGCTCACACTCCAGCCCCAACCTCCCTGTGATCCTGACTTGGATGTCCAGCTGCCTTTGCCACTGCTCCCCAAGCTCATGGCCACCCCTAGACCTGCACTGCCACCGTGCTCCTTTTGTGGCCCTTTCCTCCTTGAGCCAGGGCTGCAGACCCCAGGAGCGCGGTCCCTCGGTCCCTTCTTCCTCTCACTACATCCACCCCACCCACACGTCCACCCAAAGACCCTGCCTTCACAACACCACCGCCACACCCACGTCCACACCCCTCATCACCTCGCCTGGCCCCCACAGTGGTCCCTCACGGGTCTCCCTGCCTCCGCCCTGGAGTCCCTCCTGTTGTTCTCAGCAGGGCAGCCACAATGGTTACAACCCCATCGGTCACCACCCTCCTCTGCTCAGAGCCCCGGTAGTGTTCCCCACCCGTTAGGAGTCCTCGAATGGGCCCACACGGGTACGCTGTCCATCCTCCTCCCCTTACCTACCTGCCTTCACTCTCACCCTGTCTCCCTCCACCCACTCTGCTCCCCCGGCCCCTGGCCTCCTTGCTGCCCCTTGCTCGTGCCCGGTGCATGCTGCCCCAGTGCTGTTGCACCCACTGTTTCCACCTCCTGGCACAACCTTCCCCAGACACTGCACGGCTGGCTCCCTCAGCCCCTTGCAGTCTTCCCCCTCATCCTGCTTAAAATTACAAGTCCCGCCACCCACACACACCAAATATTCCTCCTTTGCCCCGTCCCTGTCCTATTTTTCTACATAGCACCATGTGACTTATTATATAATTTGCTTTTGTCATTGTTGCCAGTCTTTCTGTCTGAAATATAATAAGCTGGGGAGTAAGACTCTCCTCTCCTCTGTTCACCGCCCACCCCAGCACCTCGAGCAGGGCGTGGCCACCAATAAACCTTCCTCGAGTGGACGGATGCTCTAGGTCCTTGTTCTCCTGATTTGGAGCATCGTCTTCTGCGAGTGCAATACAATCACCGCCAACTTTACAACATCACGACACAAGTTATGATTCAGATACTGGTGAAACCCATAACTGAATGGGTAATCGCTCGGATACCAGAGAAAACAAACCCACAAACGAAGAGGTCGGCCACGTTGTATTTCAACATCAAAGGTTTTCGTCAAAATGTCTCCCTCGGTAGCTCAAAGAACCTCTGAGCTGCCGACTTCACCGACATCGGAAAGCCCTGCACAGGGGCTCCGGCCGCGCCAGCCGGGACCGGCAGGGTTGACTGGGAGGCCCCGCCCACCATGTGGCCCCGCCCACACGAACGCCGCCGCGCCTAGCGCGCCCCCATTGGCCGAGGCCCGAGGGGGCGAGCCAGAGCCGCTCCGAGGCCTCACCCCTCCCGGCCCGGAGGCCACGCCCACCCTCCCGGAGAGCGCTGTGCCGAGCGCGCCCCCATCGGCTGCTCCGCGGTAGGGCTCACCAAAGGGCCACGCTCCAATCGGCCGAGATTCGAGGGGCGGGGCGCGCCGACGGGCGGGGCTGCGGCAGTACCAGAGGGCGAGTGTCTAGTCCGGTTTCGAGGCCTGCCCACTGGGTGCTTGGGGGCCACCGCTTGGAGCACTCTACATCCTCCCTGAGATCGGCCCCTTAAGTGTTCTTCTAGGGAGCTCCAAGCAGCAGGCGGCCTGGCGTTTCCCCTGCGGCCCTGAAGCGTCTCCTCCCGACCTCGGGTCAGAAGGCGGAGAGCGGCTCTGATCAAGCGACGGCGTCTCGCGCAGGCGCAGTCGACGCGGGGCGCGTCCCCGACATGCCGCGCCTCGCCTGCGCCCTCCCCGGTAGGCCCCGCCCCCGCCCCCAGACCCTCTCACTGGAGGCGGAGGAGCGATGACGTCATCGAGCGGGGCGACCGGCATTGGGCGCCATTTTGAAAAAGGAAAAAAAAAAATCACTCCCGGCGGCAGCGGCGGCTGCCGGCCTGAGGTTCTCTGGCGGCGGCAACGCGCCGGCCGCTCGTTCCGTGCGCGCAGTTGGCG